GACGACGACGACGACAACGGCGGCGACGACGATGCCGACGACGACGACGACGACGACGACGACGGCGCCGACGACGACGACGCCGACGCCGACGGCGACGCCGACGACGACGCCGACGACGGCGACGACGACGGCGGCGACGACACCGACGACGACGACGCCGACGACGACGACGACGCCGACGACGACGACGACGGAGCCGACGACGACGACGGCGGCGACGGCGGCGGCGACGACGACGGCGGCGACGGCGGCGACGGCGGCGACGACGCCGACGATGCCGACGACGCCGACGGCGACGACGCCGACGACGACGACGCCGACGACGGCGACGACACCGACGACGACGACGACGCCGACGACGACGACGACGCCGACGGCGACGACGCCGACGACGACGACGCCGACGACGACAACGACCGCTACGACGCCGACGACGACGCCAGCGACGACGACGACGCCAACGACGACGACGGCGACGACGACGATGGCGACGACGACGACGACGACGGGTCCGACGACGACGACGACGCCGACGACGATGACGACGCCGACGACGACGACGCCGACGACGACGACGACGACAACGACGATGACGACGACGACGCCGCCGACGACGACGATGGCGACGACGACGGCGGCGACGGCGGCGACGACGACGACAACGCCGACGACGACAACGACGGCGACGACGACGACGACGACGCCGACGACGACGGATGCGACGACGCCGACGACGCCGACGACGACGACGATGCCGACGACGACGACGACGACGGCGGCGACGACGACGACGCCGACGCCGACGGAGGGATCCTCAGGCTGCTGGGCGTCATCGGCGCCCGTGAGACCTCTGGGGGCCTCCAGGGGCCCCCTGCGGCCTCCGAAGACCTCTGGGGTATCCGCGGGGGCTCCCTGCGGAGGCTCGAGGCCTCCGGTGGCTGTCGGATGGCCCCCTCTCGTCCTGCTGCTGCTCCTTCTCCTGCTTTCCACTTCTCCTCGTTTCCCCTCCTACTCTCCCCAATTCTCCTCCTCCTCCTCCTTCTTCTCCTCCTTCTCCTCCTTCTTCTCCTCCTCCTGCTTTCCACTTCTCCTCCTCCTCCTTCTTCTCCTCCTCCTCCTCCTCCTCCTCCTCAACCAACCCCGACTCCTTCTCTTCCAACTCCACCCCGAACTCCACCTCCGCGTCCACCCCACCCCCACCTCCCCTGCTCCTTGGCCCTCCATCCTCCATCCTCCACCCACCACCCACCACCCTCCACCCTCCACGTCCGCGCCACCTCCACATCCACCTCCTCCTGCTCTCCTTACTCTCATGCCCTGGCGCCAGTTCAGCTGGGCGGGAGCTGGCCAGCGGCGGGCATCAAAGTACACACGCACACGCACACACGCACACACGCATACACGCACACACGCACACGCGCACACACGCATACACGCACACGCGCACACGCGCACACACGCACACGCGCACACGCGCACACACGCACACACGCACACGCGCACACGCGCGCACGCGCACACGCGCACACGCGCACACGCGCACACACGCACACGCGCACACACGCACATACGCACACACGCACACACGCACACACGCACACACGCACACACGCACACGCGAACACACACACACACACACACACACACGCACAGACGCACAGACGCACAGACGCATAGGCGCAACACACACACACACACACGCACGCACGCACGCACGCACACACACACACAGACACACACACACATACACACACACACGTTCTAAGAGGGCCTCCCACAGGGCCGCCACAGAGCGCGGCCACGTGGCCTCGCTGGACGGTGTAACAAACAAAACGTTCAACTCTCCCTACTGACGGCGAACAGCAGACATGCAAGGCTCTCCTCCCCCTCCTCCTCCTCCTCCTCCTCCTCCTCCTCCTCCTCCTCCTCCTCTTCTTACTCTTCTTCCGTAGCCATGTTGGCTCAAGGCTGATGCTTTGGCGGGCTGAGCCCGCATTGGCAAGACTGGATCGCTCTAGTCCGAGCGTGGCAAGGTCTCTTGAGACCTGGCAAGTTTCTACACTCACGGCCCCTGTGTGCCAAGCCTTGGGCCCATCATGGCGTGGCGCCGCAATGCTCCCTGGTGGCGTGGCCGTCGCGACGGTCGTGGAGGCCGCTACGGCAGTGGCCACTACTCTGCGTGCTCCAAGTGCAGCCACTGGGAGTACGATCACTTCGGGAACACGGAATGCAGCAAGTGTGGGGGAGCGTATGTCGACGATGGCGCTGTCAAGCATCCTCCTGTGCCTGCTGCTGCTCAAGTGGATTTCGCTGCTGACATCAACGCGTTGGCGGCCAAGTACCCCGCCTACGCGGCTGCGCTTGGACAGCTCCAAGCAGTCGCTCCGCCGCCGCCCCCTGAGGCGTTCGTCCCTGCCACGGACAACGACATCGAGAAGCAGGTCGCCGCCAAGCGCACCATGCTCTCGAAGGCGGTGGAGATGGCCAGTCGCAAGGAAAGGGTATTGCAAGCAGATGTGGAACAACGTCGCCAGGCTGTGGTGCGAGCTCGGGACGTTTTGTTCAATGCGGAGTCGAAGCACGCGGAGAAGGAGACGGAGCTGCAGGAGGCTGCGGACTCCCTTCGTCGTGCCAATCATGAGAAGGATAATTTCAATGCTGATGCCTATCGCCTCGAGCTGCAGCGTGCTGAGCAGCAAGCGGCAGCAGCGGCGCAGCAAGCAGCCGCAGAGCATGCCCGTGCAGTCGCTCGGGCAGCCATGGGCGTGGGCAATGATGCAGAGGCTGGAGGAGTTCAACACGGTGCTGCAGGTGGCCATCCTGGTGTTCAGGGTGTTCCAGGCGCAGGCGCTTTTCCTGCGGCAGCTGGTCCTCACGGTGTACCTCCCCAAGCTCCAGGTGCGCAACTGCCTGGCATCACGGCGAGCGGGCATGTTGACTTCCAGTGGGTCCAGGACCATTTGCACGAACTCTCGGAAGCTGAGCTGCAGCGTTTCCACCAGCGGTCGCACCTCTCACCCGATCAGTGGATCGAGATGCGCAAGGTGGCCATCCAGCAGCGCAGCGCCGAGGTTGATTTCGACATGTGTGACGAGGCGCAGAGTGAGGCCGGCACTGAGGATCCTGTTTCTCCTGTTTTCAATGAGCTGGCAGCCCTGCGCAAGCGTGCAGCTGAGCATGGACCCACTCCTGAGGCCTCTGAACGCTACGGAGTCCTGCTCAGCAAGGCCGCCCGCGTCAGGGCAGGCAAGCGCGCCAAGAAGGCTATTCGTGACCAATATTCTGCCACTTTCTCTCTTTTCTGTTCAGCGGCAGCCTCCCAGCTCACCTTTGCTTGCAGCCAGCCAGTGTCAGGTGGGCAGGCACCCGCGGCAACAGCGGAGCCTGCCGTGCAACGGCAGCAGCCAGCGGCAGCGGCGGCGCCTGGAGGGCAGCCGCCGCAGCCTGCGGCCGCAGCAGCGCACGGCGAAGCCCCGCCCCGCCTTTAGCGAGGCGGCTCCGCCTCGTCCGAGGCGCCGACGTGGCAAGCAGGATGGCATCGAGATCAGGTTTTGCAACGTTACCAGCTGGTCTGATGTCACCAAAGGTTTCCTCTCTTCCAGGATTTCTGAGATGGACGCCATGTTCATCGTTGAACACCACCTTCGGCAAGATGGTGTTCACAAGGCCAAGAAGGATGCAAGAGTAATGGGTTGGAACCCGTTCTTCCAGGCTGCTCTTGACTCTCCAGGAGGTGGTACTCATGGGGGTGTTGCAGCTTTCTGTCAAAAGGGTCTGTCCTGCCAGCGTTTTCTCTCTGGGCTCCAGGCTGTGAATGTTGGTTCGGGCACGTGCTGGTTCTTCCTGGAGTTCAGGCTTCATGGGATTTCCATGGCGATTGGTGTTGTGTATCTGGCGTCGTCCATTGGGGCGACGGGCGAGAACCTGTCTCGACTGAAAGAAATCGCGGAATTCACTACCACCTTGGGTGTTCCCTGGGTCCTGCTCGGTGATTTCAATATGTCGCCTGATTTGTTGATGGAGTCGGGTTTCCTGGAGATCACCTGGTCCAGGGTTCGAGTTCCTGACGATGTTGATTACACGTGTGACGTGGGTATGACCATGATTGACTATGCTGTGTGTTCCAGGGATGTGGCCCCCTTCGTGAATGTTCGGACGTTGTTGGAATCCCCGTTCAAAACGCACGCACGCCTGCATGTCTCGGTCGACGCGGACGTTTTAGAGCAAGTGGTCCAACGTAGAGGTCGGGCTGGCGCGCTTCCTGTTGCCGCTGGGCCTGACCATCTGTGGCCGTACTATTTGAATATGGCCTGTGCAAGTGGGTTTGACTGGCGCACTCCTCCTGACGTCAAGGCAGCTACCCTAGAGCATACCTTGCAGCATGTTTCTGACGGGCTTTCGGAGGACTACGCCTTGTGGTCGAGGACCTCGGAAATCATTTTCCTGTCTCGGGGATGTGCGGTGGCGGACGAACCCGAGCGTCTCCTGGGACGGGGCTGTGCTGTCTCCAGGTTCCCGGGCACGATTCGGAGGCGTGGGCCCAGCAAGCAGGCCTTCAACGTTCCGCATCTCTGTTTCTGGTCCATGGTGTATTCTCGGCTGTTCGGACTGTGGAAAGCACTCAGTGGGAAGGCTACCTTGGCGCAGGCTAAGCGTTTGGCTTCTTTTCTCGCTGGGCAGGCTAACTACGTTTACCTGAATATCGAGCCTCTCTGCTCCTCTGCTGATGCTAGCGACTGGATGGCTGACCTCACCAGCCTCCCCGACTCGCCTGATCTCGTGCACCGCCTGGTGGATAAGGCCGCCGAGGTATGTAAGCTCGCGTGGGGCAAGGTTAAGGCCTCTAATTCTGCTGGGATCAGGAAGTGGTTGAAGGATGCGTTACCAGGAGGAGCGAGGAAGGTTCATAATTGGTTGAAGAGTGATGATAAGGTGGCGGTGGAGTACCTGGTCGCGCCTGACGGCATCCGACAAACCCCTAACGACATGATGAAGTATAGGCGTGATTTCTGGGCTCGCTGGTGGACCCCCACGAAGGAGCATTTGCAGGTTCTCAATGATACCCTCGGTGAGCTCAGGTCCCATGCTCAGACTTTCCTCCTGGAGTTGCCAGAGTTTGAGCCTCGGGATGTCCTGCAGGCGGCGACGTGTTTTGCTGGTGGCACGGCTGTAGGCGTCGACCAATGGTCTCCCAGAGCTTTCCTGCAGTTACCTTGGCAAGCAATCCAGTGTCTGGCAGCCCTGTTCAATATGTGTGAGCAGGCCCTGACGTTTCCGCAGCAGTGTTTCTTGAATATCATGGCTCTCCTGCCCGAGTCTGTGCACGACGAGCGCGCGATCAGCAAGTGTTCTACTATGTACCGCATGTATGCACGTATGCGTGGTGATCTCATCCATGAATGGACGGCAGAGCACACGGATTTCTGGGATAGTGCAATGCGTAAGTCCTCAGCGTTGCAAGCAGCTCTTCTGCGCGAAGTGTGCCACGAAATTGCAGGTGCCTTGCATTTTGGGTCGGCCTCTCTGCATTGGGACATGGAGAAGTTTTTTGACTCCGTGGTGCCCGCCCTCCTGGTGCAGCTGGCTCTGAAGGTTGACTATCCTCCTCATCTCCTCTACTTCGGCATGCTTGTGCACACTAGCCCTAGAATGCTTGAGGTGGAGGGGGTGGTCTCGGAGGTCATTGGAACGGGCAAGTCTATCCTCGCTGGATGTTCGCAGCCGGTTCCGTGGGTCAAGACATATTTGCATGGAGTGCTTGAGCGTGCGCACAGACGTCTCCCAGTGGTGCCGATTCGATCATACATTGATGACATTACGCAGTACATGCAAGGTACGCGCAAGTATATCGTCTCTGCTCTGCCTGCTGCAGCCGCTCAGTTCTGCCGAGATGTGGGTACACTTGGCTGTTCAATATCGCCTAAGTCTGCTGCAGTGGCATCGTCTACTGCTCTGGCCAAGGAGTTGTCGGCTAAGTTTGATGAACTGGGGGTCTCTATCTCATTCAAAGGGCAGGTGAAGGATCTGGGGGTCATGACCACAGCGGGGAGGAGGATATGTGCATGGAAGATCAAACTGCGCCAGCGGACCGCTTTCAAGCGCTCTCGTAAGCTGGCCTATCTCGCTCACCTGTGCGGTCGATCCCGCAAGATCTTTAAGCCTGGTGTGCTTAGTGTCGGATCGTGGGGTCACTCAGTGTTAGGTTTGACCGCGGCCGATCTGCAGAGTTTCCGATCGCAGGCTGCTAAGCGTTCAGGATACTGGAGTCAAGGTGCATGTACCTCGACCGTCCTCAGCCTGATGAACCCCCTGAGCCAGGATCCTGAATATCGGTTGCGTACTGAACAGTTATCCGCTATTGCTGGTGTATGACATGCCTTGTCCCCAGGACAACGGCAAGGTGTGCGCAAGGCGTGGGGGCAACATCGGGCACGGCTCGTCGCTCTTCCGCCTCAGCGCCGCTGGCGTGTGGTGTCGGGCCCCATCGCGGCCGCGATCTGCACCCTGCTCGATTTGGACTGGTCGCCCACCTCACCCACTCAGTGGGGCACGCCTTGCGGAGTGCTCTGCGTGGAGGCGCGCGACTTCATGCTTCATCTCCGCGCCGCTGTGCGGCATACTGTTTCTCGGGGACATGCTTGCAAAGCGGCTCAGCATTTCTGTGGAGAAGGGTTAGGTGGAGGTGCTGATTGCACGGTTTTCCGAAGAATGCACGCTCGGATGATCAAGAATGGAGAGCATGCTGATGCCGCATTGCTTGTGTGTATTGTTCCGGCAGGTACCTGGCCTGAAGCTCGGCTTCAAGATGCGGGGTATCTAACTGACGGCATCTGTCCTAGGTGTGGGGCTGCTCGTGAAACCAGCCTCCACCGCTGCTGGGAATGCTCGGCCAATGCATCGATCGTCAGCGTCGCGATGCATCGCTCGCTTGGCCTCGTCGAGATGGCGAATCAGCCCGAGCATGTCAGGAGTGCGTTCTGGACGCGTGGGCCCCCGCCTTTGGAGGCCGCTGTCGCGCCCATTCCGCCGCCCGTGGAGATTGTGAAGTCTTGGGGCCTCTTCGTGGGGGACCAGGAGGTGCGTGGGGGCCGATATGGTTTGGACGGCTCTGGGGGGTATTTTTGCTTCTGATTGGAGGCTCAGGCGCTGTGGATGGTCTGTGGTTCGTTTCGATGAGGACAGTCTCCAGAGCGAGGACCTGGCCTGTGACGGTATCCTCATGGGTACCCTCCCCACGGTGGTTCAGTCGAGCCCCAGGGCCGAAATTTATGTTATGATTATGCTGCTCAGACGCACGGTGGGAGATATTGTGGCCTACTCGGATTATCTTCCCTTGGTGCGTGGTCTCCGTAAGGACAGGTCTTCTATCTCTGCTACGTCGCCTATGCTCGACCTCTGGGACCAGCTCTGGACGCTCCTGGATGCTCGTGAAGGCTCGGTGGAGGTGTTGTGGACTAAGGCCCACTCGACTGCGGGGACTCGTGAGGTTTGGGGTATCTCTAGGGTTGAGTTTTTCCTGAATTTTGTTGCTGACTTTTTTGCTGGGGAGGCTGCCGCATTAGGAGAGGTCCCACAGGACCATGTGAATGTCTTGAATGAAGTAGACGACATGATGGGAAAGGTCCTGTCTCGTCTGCTGGATGTCAATCGTGAAGTTAATCTAACGTGCCGCCGCCTCGTGTCAGATAGAGTTGGGCGTCCTCCTCCTCGGCCGAGGGCCTCCTCCTCTCTCGCCACGCGGAGATGTAGACTCGAGGCGGCAGGGCACAGTGTCAAGCTTGTGAATTCGAGATATAAATGCATCGTCTGTGGCCGCCTTTTTGAGGCCGTGAAGGGAAAGGTTTCCGATTTCTTCCCTGGTCAGTGCGTGGGGGTGCGACAGATAATGTGCGGGTCGGAGCGTGAGGCCGTGATCGCGCACCCTGGGGCCCCCCGTGCGCACTCGTCCCACGACCTCGCGGTGCTGCGTGGTGTCTTGTTTTGCCGAGTCTGCGGGAGGTTTATGGTACAGAACTCCCAGCTCCTCGGAGAGGAGCGCCCACCAAGTCGCACTCCGACGAAGGCAGGCGCCAGCGTGTTGTCTCGCCTTAGGCGAGGCCTTCCGCCGAAGTGCGGCATGAATTTCCCAGATCCCTGACGTGTACAGTGGGATCACTGACGGGTGCTGAAGAGTGTGTGGTGTGAAGCATGCGCCCTGGCCAGACCAGGTCCCCGCCGAGCGCCCAGCCCAGTCTTCTTATTCTTCTTCTCCTTCTTCCTCCTCCTCCTCCAAATCCTCCTCCTCCTCCTCCTCCTCCTCCCTGCCTCCATGCTCGCCCCCTCGCGCCCTCCGTGGGGGCGGGCAGGCGCCTCTCCGCTGCTGCCGCGGGCGCGGCGGCCGCGGGGCGATGAGGGGTGCGCGCGTCGGCGTGGTCCGGCCTCGCGGGGCCAGGGGGAGGAGGAGGAGGAGGAGGAGGAGGAGGAGGAGGAGGAGGAGGAGGAGGAGGAGGAGCAGCAGGAGGAGGAGGAGGAGGAGGAGCAGCAGCAGGAGGAGGATGTGGAAGTGGAGGAGGAGGAGGAGGAGGAGGAGGAGGAGGAGGAGGAGGAGGAGGAGGAGGGGGAGCGGTGGATGCTGGCGTGTGCTGCTGGTCATGTGGGGTCGGCGCTGCTTGTGGTGTTGCTGGTCGGTGGTTGTCCGTGGTGGGTGCTGGTGGATGCTGCTGGTCGGTCTGGGTCGGTTCTGCTTGTGGTGTTTGTTGGGGGTCGTCGGTGGTCGCTGGTGGGTGCTTCTGGTCTGTCGGGATCGTTTTTGCTCTGTGGAAGATGCATGCTGGTACGTCGCCGTCTGTTCGTGCATAAGCCTTTCTCCCGCCTCCAGTGCTCCACGCTGACGCCGGTGAAGCGGTTGGTCGCGATGTCGGCGTCGAGGCTGCAAGTCCTGGGGGGGCGGTTCCTGAAGGAGGGTAAAAAATTACACTGCCGTATTGGTCTCGCATCGAATTCTGGAAGACACGGGTATTCTCAGCGGGAGGCGGAAGGAGGGAGGGGAGAGAGAAATTCGAATACCCGATTGTGTTGAAAAAACCTCCCAAACTTGCAGCAGGGCCGGTCTCAAACCGCGCCCTCGGGACTAGTTTTTTGGGAAACCTTTGGCGTCCCATTCACGCATTGATTGGGCAACTGGCACCTTCACCTCTTGTTCCCGCCCTGTGTATTCCACCTCCCCGGACGTGATTTTCGCCACCATTTTCCCCAGCACCTGTACCACGAGCTCGTCCCTCAAAATACGGATGTCTTCAAGGGGGATGCCCAAAAGACGGTTGAGGTGGTATTTGACGAAACTGAGCTGCTTCATGTCCCTCCGCTCCGCCTTCGTGAGGTTTTCTGTGAATCTTACGGTTTGATGCGGGGTTCCTCCTGGTACTCGGGGTGGGCTGTCTCGCATCAATTTGTGGAAACCGTTTTTGCTCGCAAGTGTCTGGAACTCTATGTATCCGACGCTGGTGGGGTCAGTCATGCAGAACACGTTGTGCACCCGGTCCTGGTAGTTGTGGTCCTTGGCTAGCTGCGTCAAGCACCAGACGACGGAAACTTCGGAGGTGTCTTTTGGAAATCCGTGTGCCACCAGTTGCAAGTTCTTGTTGTGTGCTGGGGCTGCCTCTCATGCTCTCAAATGCTTGTTGTAGTTGTTGTGCTTGAAGAGCTGTGGCGTCAGTCTTGGCGTGAAGCGCTTTGAACTCGGTAACGCTCGAACCCTTGATGTCATCGATCTGGTGCTGCATGCCTTCGAATTTTTCCTCATTGGCCTGCTCGTACTTCGTCATTCGCTCGTCCATGATGCTGCCCATGCGCTTGGACATGGCATCGACGATAGCTTGGTCTCTAGGCTCGAGTGCTGGCTCCTGGTCCTCGTGCCGTCCTGTCTTTGCGTGTTTGGGTTGCGGGGTGGAGCCGGTCGCGGTCATTGCCTTCCGGATGCCATCCGAGGGGCGCTCGGGCGAGAGCGACATGATGTTGGAGAGAAGTAAAGATGGTAGAGGGAAATGGAAGTGTAGAGTGAAAGTGTAAAGTGAAAGTGTAAACCGAACGGATAACGCTTGCGACTTGAGGCTTCTGGGGCTTCTTGAGCCCCAGAAGGAGGAGGAGGAGGAGGAGGAGGAGGACGACGAGGACGAGGAGGAGGAGGAGGAGGAGGAGGAGGAGGGGGATCCGAGGAGGAGGAGGAGGAGGAGGGGGACCCGAGGAGGAGGAGGAGGAGGAGGAGGAGGAGGAGGAGGAGGAGCAGCAGCAGGAGGAGGAGGAGGAGGAGGAGGAGGAGGAGGAGGAGGAAGGGACGGACGTCAGGGGGGGGACGCCTTTTTTCGGACCCGAGGTTCTCGGTTCTCGTTCTCGCCGGTGCTCGGGCCCCGGGGTGCCTTCCAGCAGCTGCGGCCTCGCCGAAGGGCGTCCCGGGCTGCCTGGACGGCCCCCCGACCACCCGCTGGAGAGCCGAACCATGGCCCGAACGCCAGGAGAAACAGCGAAGAAATCGGCGATACATCGCTGACAGATTGGTGATACGCCCCCGATCGCCAATCGGCACGCTCCTGGGCGGGCTGGGCCATCGGGCCCCCATCGGCGATGAGGCGGAGGTTGATGGTCGATGCGTTCCCCCAAGCGTATCCCCCCCCCTGGCGCAGTGAGGGCACACGCCATTGGCCACCTCAGCTGTGATACATGTTGTGAGGTGGGTAAGCCCCAACAATACCTACTGCGTAGGTGCAGTCTCGCGGCCAGAAAGGGACCTTTTGTTTTTCCCCTGTCTCTCCCCCTCTCCTCCTCTCTCCTGCCCGCTCCCCCCTCGGCCTGCTTCCCCCTCTCCTCCTCCTCTCTCCTGCCCGCTCCCCCCTCGGCCTGCTTCCCCCTCTCCTCCTCTCTCCTGCCCGCTCCCCCCCTCGGTCTGCTGAGGTTTCTCCTCCTCCTCCTCCTCCTCCTCTCTCCTGCGTGCTCCAGATGCGCTCCGCCGGAGCACGTTCCAACGTGCTCCGGAAACGCCCCGCTGGAGCACGTTAGCTCCGGTGCCCTTTTCTCGTCGGCTCGCAGGCCAAAAAGGTCACCGGCTCCATCGCACGTGCCCTCTTGCGCAGACATAGGGGCAGCACCACGGGAACTTGTAACTGCGCGTGCTGGAACGCATCCTGGTGTGCGGGGGTGGGGTTCTCCGTGATCTTGCTATACCTGGGCCCTCGTCTTGCACTCCCTCTCGCAGGTCCTGGTCGCCTCCCGGACTCGGAGTCAAAACTGTGTACACGTTTCTTGGCTTCCCCACTCGCAGGACCAGGCGCGTAGCCGGAGGGGTGGGACGGGAAGGGAGGGGGCAGTCATAGAATTCAACAAAATCCGCCGACCCTGTCGGCGTGTGGAAGAGGCTTCTCCGTCTGCTCCCTCTTCGTCGTCGTCGATGTTTCTTCTTCTTTCCCCACAGCGTCGTTGCTTCTACCCCGGGTCCCAAGGCCTCCTTCTGAGATCTTCTGAGGCGCGCCAGTCCAAGGCGAGATTGAAGAGCGTCGTACTTGAGTCGAAGGGAAGCCCCTTCACTCTGATCCCTTCCCGGGGAAGGGGGGGGGGGCCCGGGGTAGCTCCCGGGGGGGGGGGTGTCCCGGGTTTATACGCCGCCCTCCCGGGGAATCCCGGAGCCCAAAAAGGCCCCAAGACCGGCCAAGAGTGCCCCAAGAGGCCCCAAAGATGATCCAAGAGGGCCCCGAATCGCCGAATGATCTGTCCAAGACGCCTTGACGGCCTCCAGACGGCCCAAGAGGCCTGCGAGACGCCCCCAGAGGCCTCCAGGACCGTTCCCACGAGAGCCCCAAGAGGCACAAATCATGGATTTACCATGCGTTTTTCAAGGATTTTGGCGTTCTCGCCTCTTCTGCTTCCCCACGCGCCAAGGCGGCCCAAGAGGCTCCCAAGATCGCCCTGACACGGCCCAAGAGGTCTCCAAGAGGGTCCCCAAACGGTCCAAAAGTGCCCCAAGACGGCCGAAGACGCCTCCCAAATGCACAGAAGGCCCCCAAAACGGTTCCAAGAGAGTGCCCAGACGGGGGACCCGAACGGACATTTCGAGCCCTCAGCCCCGAGAAGCTCCCAAGAGGCCCCCCAGGAAGCCCACAGAGGCCCCAAGAGGCTCCCGTGTGTTTTCTTGGGCCTCCCACCCTCCCCCTCGTCGGCAATGCGCTTCTCCCACACTGAGCATTCTTCCTGTTGCGTTGTTATTTCTCCCCAGTGGCAGAACGCTGTCTCCAGGGTCGGCGGCATCGGCCGTAAGGCCTCCGCAATTCCCACGAACCCGGCACAGTACGTGCAGTGCCGGGGGTGGCGGACCGTCTCCCCATCCTGCCATCAAAGGGGGATGCGAAGTTCCTGGAGACGGGATGGGGTGGGCACAGGTTGGCATCATAGCCGACCCAAACACAATAGAGGCATCACAGCCTCTGATCATCATACTGTCTAGGTTGATCCACTCACGGATCCAACACTTC